CTGATTTGAGAATGACAAAGATGAGAAGTTTCAAATTTGGGATGTTTAGCCATCTGAAATTGCCATTTTAGTAATAAAAAGATTCTGGTTCTCAACATTGGCTAAATAACACTTTTCAAATTGGTCATTGCTATTATTTGTTTTCTCTAATTTTTCAAAATCAAAAATTGGATTTTGTTCAGAAGTGAATGGCTATATTTGAAGAAAGTTTTTGTCACACTTTAAAGATTTTTGTTTGATTGTCATTATTGGTGGAACTGACCGTCAAAGTTTTACGGGGGGCACGCGTCTTTTTGTATTTGTTTGCTTATCGCAAAAACATTACCGCCGAGCGCAATAATCGGTCGGCAAAAGGTGTGAAGGCTTAATACTGTTTTTAACTAAACAGAATGTGCAGTTGGACTCAAGGGAATAGGGGATGAAAATGAAAAATACGTTGGTGTATTGAGGGACCGTGAATAAAAAATAGTAGAATAACCACTGCCATGACGCTGATTATATTTGCAGCTTTTCACAGTACTCTCTCGAAGAGAGATGACGTCATTGAGTAAAATGTGGATTGCAGTCACTTCTGATGGAGATGGACTATCTTATGATGAACAGCTCAAAGTTCTACACAAAGGTTCTCGCGTGCAGGTACATGTATTAAATACAATTTGGTAAGCCATTTTAGCAAATTTAAGAGGAAAACTAAAAGACGATTAAAATATCTAGGTAATAAGCCTTCAAGCTCGGCAGAAAGATCTCCCGCAGTTTAGAGATTATTTCTTAAGAGTGCTAAAAAACAATTATCAGTCCTACTCGCTTCTTGCGTCGTATATGCAACAGGTTAGACTTCGACATATCTTATATTCTAAGTCATTCTGTTTACTGAAAACCGTTTACTGCTAGTCTAATGAAGTTGTACAATAAAGTTACGACTTGGGGTGATGGTGACGGTGAAGGAATAAGAAAAAAAGTCGTTATCGTTCAATGTGAATGCTGACGCCTAAGCAGTGCAAGTACTGCTGAGCTCATAGACAAAATGCAGAGCACCAGATACTATTTTCAAAATTCTGAAGCAGTTAAAAATACTGTCACGTACATGACGTTGCTTATTTTAAAAAATATTTCCTAACTTCTTCAAATTTTATTTGAAAAGGCAATTAATTAATTTAGTTTTATTTATTTTAGTAACACTGTAGAAAGTAAAAATAACTCAAAAGTGTTTAAAGGTTGGGTATTCCTCAATACAGACGGCACAGTTTACTACATCTCAAAGTACCTATCCATCGTCTTCGAAGAGCATATTTATTTGATAATTTTTAAGTGACTTGCTCAAAGAACTTATCAGCTGTTTGGCTGACTCAAGAAAAAAGGCGTTACATTTGTTTTAAATATTTTTCACAGTCACCATCACCTCGCTTCTTTATTTTTTAAAAAATAGTTTTCTGCATTGTTGACTACGTTGCACAAAAAATTTTTAAAAGTGAGTGATGACTGATAGTAAAAACCTAAACGGTTCTCTAAGTAGAAAAACCAAGAGAATGTATTAAAAACATTAATAGGTTAGCAAAGTTTTCTTAAGGTACACAACTGTTCTGTTGTTGGAATATCAGGATATACAGACTGTGCAGATCTTACCCGCGAAGATATGAATGCAATGCATAATCAAGCCGATACCGTTGAATCTGCTGTTCGTATGACATTTGCTTTAGCAGCAGTAGGAGCTAAACTTCGATCAAATCCTGTTTCTGAGACAGTATGGTAGGCAAATTTAATAAAGTTTCACTAGAAAATTATTGGAGATTACTAGAAATTCAATACCTGTATTTACGACAGGGTTTTCAACTAAATAAATGTAATTGCAACTTTTAGTGAACGTCCGTCGCCACAATGTACAGAGTTGATTATCAAAGAGTTGGAGTCAATTGATTACGAATTTGGGCCTAATGATCCGCCTGAACTCGCTGGTGAGCACCTACAGTTTTATCGAAATTTGGATGGACACCTGGTATCAAGTGGCATAATGATTGAAGGTATAGAACTTGTTAATGATGAAAAAATGGGACCAATGGTTTACAAGGTATGTTTTGCATAGCAAATACTACTGCTATATTCCCGTTAATTCATGGGTGCAAATAAAATATATCACTTGGTTGCTGAAGAAAACATTAACTTCTGTCAAGTCATAGTTGACAAAACGCAGTCTTCCATTGACAGTTTAGGTAATCGAGTATGAAACAGGTCGTTATCCTCGTCTTGTTACAAACAATTTCCGTCAAAATCGGATAAGATCTGTGTGTGCTCCTTACCGATCTTTTTGCGGTCGTTGTGAGCACGTTACAAGGGTTGACCCAAAGGTTAGTCAAAGGAGGCTATTTCACCTAGTGCTTTACAAAATGCGCCATCATTTATGATTTCTTCTTGAGGTTTGGTGAGATACGATTGCGAAGGGAATGAAAAAAATTCTTATTTTGGTATATCTTGCTGCTAAGATAGTTTTCCACTTTCAGAAGTATTTCTTATCAATTCCTAAACAATATCCATTATATTTAATGGCTTTGTTCAACTTTCACGAAGGTCCTAAGTGCCAAACTTTTAAAAACTATGATGTTTCCCTTCCAATGGCGTTTGTTCACACGGTATGTTTGAAAGTTTTTTATTGTTGTAAGCATTAAGCTAGTCTGTTTGGCTGAAACTTTGAAGCGTTCTTCTGATACATAATTTATACCCTTACAACATTAAACCGACTTTTAGATATGGACCTTCCGACAACGGTTCCCGCAACTAAATTTGTTAAGGAATTTGGAATTTGGAGCACTTTTAGTTGATTCATGTTCGTCAAGCAAAAAATCTATTGAGATCATTGTCCAAAGTGAAAATCAGTGCTTTGCATTTGAACAAGCTGAACGTAATGTCACTGTTGTTCCAGGATCAATCTTTGGTAATATGGAATTCTTATAAGGAGTATTTTTAGAAAAATGATATGAGACTTTTGAATTTAATAATCTGCTTATGAAATCCATACAAACAAAGTACTGATTTATTTACTTATGAACAGGTTACATATCGGGATTGAATGGCGGACAGCATGAAGCTCTTAGTGGATTTTTCGCAACTGGTGAAGTGCCACTAATAGCTTTAGATACTGATCGTAAACCAACCTTAGACGAGTTTTCAACTATGCCATCTGGAAAATATCAAGCTCTTGCTTTGCTAAAATTGCTGAAAAAACTGAAGTGGGAATTCGTCGCTGTCGTTTTATCTGAACAGGTTCATCTAAACCACTTTCTTTTATAAATTTATTGAAGACAGAAAATAACTGAAACATTGAGCAATGTTACTTATTATTTCTTATTCAGAAAAGAAACCCATGACTTTTCTATTGGAATATTATTGGAAAAATTTTTAGGATAGTGCATCACTAGCCTCATTCCGACATTTTGAACGTATGGCAGCTGATCGCGGAGTTTGTCTGGCTGAAGTTATCAATATGAGCGGGGAACATCTACCTGATATTTCTGCATCATCAGTGACTAATGCTACCGTATTGTTTACTACTGCGGATGATGCAGCTATGTATTTTGCCGCACGTTTCAAGAGAGGTATAAGCAACTCTGATGAGTTTTTGTGATGGTTAAACTACTTCACTCATTAGATACACTTTTAGAGTCTTCATTAGCTCACGCACACGTTGTCGTTGGTGACGCTCACGATTTTTACCTGCGTGATCCGTCAAACGTCGCCAAATTTGTTGGAACGGTATCACTTCAGCCAAAAGTAAGTACCTCTAAAAGCTGTTAAGGTTGAAAATTAAAATATTTGTTATGTTGGTTTTATTATGATGAATTAACTGAACAAAATATTGTTCATATTGCTTATAAAAACTGCAGCTTAAATACCTCATAGTTAAAAGCAGAGAAGCACAATTTCAAATATTTTTATTTTAGGATGTTTTGTACGCCGACTTCAGGCAATGGTTAGAGATGACAACTCCGTTAACATTACCAGAAGCCTGGTATTGGAAACACGTTGAATATCGGTGGCAGTGTGCAATGACTGAAGAAACCAAGAAGAAATATAACGGTAAAATGTGCACCGGAGAAGAACTATTAGACATTGAGCATTTAGGTAGTTGCAGAATTTTTTAAATCGCTTTTATTTCAGCTTTAAAGCCTAAGAAAAAAATCTATTATGATTTTCCAACGGTGTACTTTACTGTGGTTGCGAAAGTTTGAAAAGCTTCATCAATGGTTTGCTTTTCTTTCACTTTTCAACATCAACATGTGGTGTTACTTTTAGGACGCATGACAAAAAGTGGTTATCTTTCTCGAGGAGTCGAAAAGCTTTTGTTTGCAATGGATTCTGTCTACAAAAAGCTGTGTCCTGAGCAAACGGGAGTGTGCCCTGAGTTCTATACAAGCGGAAGGAAGCAAATACTAAATGTGTTGAAAAAAGTGCATATTGAGGACGAATTTGAAATTTATGAATTTCTACCAGATTCAGAAGGTTAATCAAATCGTTTCTGTCGATACATACATCTACTGTATGAAAGTTTATATTGTGTCTTGTAAATGGAACTTTACGAAAAATTTTTTTAGGTTCATTTTCTTATAAAGTTATTGGGAATTGGTCAATCAAAACAGGACTGCGGTTTGGAAATACGTTCAAAAATTTCAATGCTCGTGGAGAACAGATTCCTTCGGAACTTGTTTTGTCTCAAAGGTTCTGATTATACTCTATTCATTTCACTGTTGAATTGGGTTATAATAGTTTAATGTTTTAATAAGAAAATTTTTACAGGATCGTTTCTCGTTGTGTCGCTCCTTTATGCAGCTGCTTCACTGACAAAGATTTCTTTACCAGCCCTGTACAAATGGCTATATCGTCAAGTAATGACATGGACATCCTTAGCGGTTCATATGTTCGTCGGGAGCCAGCTCACGGTGGCAGTAAGAAGATCCAGTATGAAAGTGTCAGCCTTTATAAAGTTATTTGCCTTCATCTAAGTTCTGCTGTGGAATAATCGAAAACACGATTGATGTCTGATTCCTTCATATTTTAGATTTTGGATCACTTGACTACTGGAAATTGGCGTCGACATACCTCAAACTACGTATTCCTTGTCGTCAATTCTTTGTTGCTGCTCGCATCTCTGGCCGTTTTGGCTTTGGTGTGTATCAAACTTTATCTTCGCGTTGTTAAAGGGAATCAGTCGCTTGGTATATCGTTATTGATTGGGATCATTCTTGTATATGTTACAGCATATTTCTTCGTCTTTGATCCTACCGACTTGGTGAGTGTTACTACATTGTTCATTAAAAAAAAAAAGGAAGAAGCGGAACAAAGTTTTGGTCCTGACCGCTGTAATGATCAATAATCTTTAAGATTTGCCGAATACGTGTTACACTGCATTCAATGGGATATACACTATGCTTTGGAGTAATGATTGCAAAGGCAACTCAGTTAAGAAATGCAGAGACCTTAGGATTTTCCACCACAGTGCACATTAGCTACTGGAACTACTGGCTATTACTCTTCTTCATTCTCGGGGTTCAAATTGCGCTCTCTGTTAGGTAGCTTTTCGGTCATTCACTAGTGTAAAATTTTAAATTTTTACTTCTAATATTACTGGCACATTTCTTGTGGAAAATGTGCCAGCGAATTCAAGATGAATGTTTAAATTATCTTCATTGGTCAACCTTCATTTACAGATGGTTGGCTGAACAATATATGTCAACACTTATATTAGATGGATCTCAGATGAAAATGAGCTGCGCTTTCGGTGACCAAGAATTCTTGTTGTCCCAAACCTATGTTATAGTTCTTCTTGCTTTGGCTCTCTTTGTTAACAGTAGGAACCGTAATATTAAACGGAACTATAAGGTACTTAAAACATAATCATAATGTAAACGAAATATATTAATAAATTCAATGAATTTCAAAAGCGGCATCACTTGCGGCAGTAAATTATGTTAACTGGATACTTGCATGGCAGCATAGTTTTAGCTGATTAATATTCGACAAACACATTTCTTGAAATTCTTCTAAATATTTTTTATTATCCAGGAAACAAAATGGTTGTTCCTTTCATCTGTGGTATGTTTTGTTTTATGGGCTTTATGGATGTCAGCGTACTTAATGGTTCCAGTGAATTATAGGGTTAGTTTTGCTTCATCTCTCATAAAGTACAAAAATACTGGAAAGCACCAAGTTACGTAACGACAGTTTATTTAGGACATGGTCATAATTCTTGAGCTGATGTCATGTGGCACTGTAATGCTTGCTTTCTTGTTTGGTCCAAAAATTTATATTCTTCTTTCCTATGAGCCAGTAATTGTTGAATATCAAGGCCCAAATTCGAACAGTAAAGATCTAGTTTATGAGAATGGATTGTTCGAAAAAGGTTCAAAATGTTTATAAACTTTTCTCTTATATTTAATTGGACGAAATATTAGCAATCATAATTGTTAATACTGTCAGATAACGTACTTGTAAGAGCCATTTCTCCAACAAGCAGCACTGGCTCTGGTGCTCATTCTACGACATCCGGAGTGCATAAATCACTAAATTCTGTTGTAAACTCGAGTTCAAGTGGCGCATGTAGTGACGATCAGGTAGGCGGCAACGAACCTGCTGACTTTATTCATTTTTATTGTGTAAATGTGAGCAGATAAATATAAGGATTTGAAAAAGGCTTTTTTTTCTACTATTTCTATTGTTTACAGGCGCCAATATTTCACACTGTAATGCGGAAGAAGAATAAGGTACGAAGGGCTAGATCCGAGCATAACGTGAAACAAACACATATTGTGCATTTTCCGTCAGTGCCGTCTTCAACACCGATTTTGGCTGATGGTCAGCGCGAAATACCTGCTGTTAATTCAGCTACGGGAACGTATACAAAAAGTGAAACTTCACGTCGCGGCAGTCGTAAACCGTTTAGCCGAACACGAGAACCGTCACCAAAACCATGATTCACCACAATCAGCTAAAAATATTATAAAAGAAGAACGAAAAGGAATAAAAGAAAAAAATTAACCACATATAGATTTGCTGACAGTCAGCTGGCATCAAATTATTTCTTATCTGTTTGAAAGATTGCTCAACAGTGTAATTTAGTAAGCCATATTAATGATGGTGCTGCTGCTTTTGAAACATGTGATTTTTGTTCTCTTATTCCTTCTTGTCTTTATGCTCCACGGTTGCGAAACTAAGAAACTAAATGACAAGAAGCTTTTAAAACTGAGTTAAAGAATTCGTTCTGCCCTTTTCCGGTCTTTTTTCCCAGCTAAACACTTAACCATTCTTTTTTGGGTGTCACAAGATTTTTAAAGATTTTTGTGATTTTCCAACGAGTATACTCAAAAAATGATGTGAGCTACAATCTCGACATGCCTTCTTTTTCCCCTCTCTTTTCTGTATGCTTCTACCCGGTTGGTGCTGATATATTTGGTACTTTTCTATTGGACAAACACTGTTGGAACTATAAAAGGGAAAAATGCTGGTTTTTCGCTGTTACGCTGCCTCATTGCATTTTTGTGAACTGTAGTGATCTTGATGGCAGGCGAACTACCCAAATGTAGGGTGTCGGCTTCTACCCTTTCTCCAGTGTAGGCTGTGGCTCACATTTTGAGTTGTTCTTTGATTTCAGGGTGATTTATTTTTATTTTTATTTTTATTTTTTTTATTTTAGTCATTCAGCAAAGAGCTTACTATTGTGATTTTTATTATACTTCTGTCTTCAATTGTTGCTGAGTGTGGCTTCAAATGAAGTTATGTGCTCATTCTGTAAATAATTTATTTTGTAAAAATGTTACAAGTGACGGGTAATTTTAAGAAGAATTATTTTTTAAAATTTATTTTCAAACATAACTTCATTTTATGTTGTAGGTTTATTAAAAATAAAAGAAAAAAAATCAGTTTTGTGGACAGGCTTTGTTTCAGAAACAAAAAAGAAGGAGATAAAAATTTCCTTTTTTTCTTTTTTAATTTTCTCTTCAATTGTCGACTCTTAAAAGGTAAAGTGTCTGGCTGTTTTTGTATGTACAGTATGTGTGTGCTGAAATCGGAAACTGTTTGTTCTGTTTGTGAAAAATAAAAAAAACTTCAAATGATTCTGGTAATTTTCGTTATCTGCACAGCCTATCGCTCTACGATGGTTCAAAAGAAGTTTAGCCGACAAAGGAAAGCAGTAAGGCTGTTTCCGTTGATCGGGAAGTAAAATTTATGCCATCCCGTAGAACAGTATCATTTCGTAGTCACTACTCTCGCACACTACCAAGAATTTAATATTTCTGTCACGTGTACAAGCTTTATCAGATCAGCCGATCAGCACCGGAATGGAAATCATATTAATCAGTAACATAAAGGCCGAGTGTCGAAAGCAGTGAAAGAACTGTTTTAAGTTCTCGGCCACTTTCTTCAAATAATTAATAGAAGAAGATTTC